CTGTTTACAGATTGTCCTATAGATACTGGGCCCCGGGACATTTGGATTTAGGGCAAACAGATGGCTGAGTAACCTCGCCCTATTACTGATTGTCCATTGTCCAAAAGCAAACACACTCCAACCATCAAATTTACAACAGAATCTAGGGGAGTAATTAACTTTTGAATCACACAGTCCCACACTATAATAGTGCATTTGAGGACAGACTGAGCTACGGAATGAGACCCTTCCAGAATAAAAACAAAAACAATAAAAACTGAGACCCATCTTTCAAGAAATACTGGACTGAGGATGTAGCTAAGTGGTTAGAGCACTTGCCTAATAGATACCTGGGTTTGATCCCCAATACCTGCAAAAAAAACACCAAAAGAAGTTCATCAGGTTGGAATTGAAAGCAAGTGACCTCAGATGATAGTCTGAGCCCACTTAAAAAAGACAAAGTATCAGTAAAGATAATTTTGTAATGATAAAAGGCACTATAAATGTGTTTGTGCTCCTTTCTTCTTTTAACTGATTTAAAAAACAAGCCAAACGCTGGAGATGTAGCTCAGTGGCACTGCCACCTGCCTGGCAAGCACAAGGTCCTGAGTTTGATTCCCAGTACTGGAAAAACAAAAACAAAATAAAAAAGCCAGGTACGGTGGTGCACACCTGTAATCCCAGCACTCTGGGAGGCTCAGGCAGGAAGGTTGCAAGTTCAAACCCAGCCTGGGGAACCTAGCAACTTGTAGGAAACAGGGAAAGGGGACGTTACTAGAACCTTTGCAGTAAGTCCTAGTCTCCTGCGAGCCATGGCAGCACAAGGCAAATTAATTTATTAGATAAGATAGAAAAATGAGACAGAGAAGAAGCTGAGCTTTTGGGCCTGATCAATGCTGCTCTGGGCTGGAAAGACAAACCCTCCCCCCGCCTCCCACACACACCTTTATTCAGTCCATCAGGAGAAACAAAAGTAACAGGTGACTCAGGGCAGATAGTTCAGTACCTAGTAACAAATGTAAAAGGTGACTCAGAGCAGTGGCATGAAAATCCTAGAACACTGAGGAACTATTCAGATGAAGATTTTGTTCCTCCCCAGGATGTCTTCAGTGGTGTAATCCTGCCCTGGAGCATCACAGCATGGCCCAACCCTTGAGGTCTTAGCTTTGTCCAGAGGTGAAACTGGAGTTACGTCTTGACTTACTGTACCTGCCCTGTTGGCAGGAAAGCTAGGCCCTAATCATGATTTAATTGTGAAATGATTTTTGCCCAAAATTATGTAGACTTGTTCCTGACAGCAACTTAATGAGACCTCTCTCCAAAAAAAAAAAAAAAAAAAGTGGGTTGAAGATGCTTCTCAGTGTGAAGGTTCAATCCCCAGTTCTGCAAAAGCAAAAGCAAAAACCCAGAACTGTATAAACTAATACAATATAGAGGAGGCTGAGCTTAGTGTGTAAAACATGCTTAGAATGCATGAGGCCATGGATTAAAAAATAATAAATTGGGGCCGGGGATTTAGCTCAGTGGTTCTGGCACATGCCTTGCAAGCTCCAGGTCCTGAGTTCGATCCCCGGTACCAAAATAAATAAATTTTAAAAAATAAATTTAATCCACAATAATTGATAAAGTATTTATTAAATACTAAATAATAAAGTATTGTAGAGCCTATAACATAGAAATATATTTGCCAGTAACAGCATAAAGGCAGTGTATAGGAGCCAAGCTGTATCGAGCTAAAGAAATGTCTCCAGGTGGTAACTCATATTCATAAGAATAAATTAAAAATTCCAGAAATGATAAATAAGATGAATGTAATGAAATGGTAAATATACTGCTCCCCTTCCCTAGTTCCATAAAAAGACATAAACTTCTATGAAGTAATAATAGCCATGTGTTGGGCCAGGGATGTAGCTCAGTGGCGCCCGCACCTACCTGGCAAACGCAAGGTCCTGAGTTTGATCCCTAGTTCCATAAAAAAAAAACCAAAACAAAAAACTAGTATGATAGAGAGATGAGCCAGGCAAAAATATTATAGGCAGTCAGATGAGAAGGCCAGGGCAAAGGTGAAACAAACCACAGCACCACCTCAATTAGATTTCCTGGCTGTATGCATAGAAAGGGACAGGCCACCCGAAGCCAAGGGGATTTGCAGGAAGGTTATTGGGGGCTCTTGGTATTGTAGACAGCTAAGTTAGTTATAGATATTACAGCTGGCTGTACAGGGCTGGGCCTTTAGCAGAGGACAGTTGCGGCCCAAGGCATATTCACTGAAGGCCAGAATTGTAAAAGGAGAGAAACTACACACCCTTGTCCTTCCCCTGGGGATAAATAGCAGTGATTGATGTTCTAAATAGGTATCATTCACCTGGGTGGGGGGTCAGGGTTTTAACCCAGCCTCTCCAGGAAATATCCCTGATCCCCAGCCTTACTGAAAATCCTTGTACGCTTGCTACTGACTTGCTTCCCAGTTGGACCACCATTACCTGAGTGACTATACTTGTAACCTTGTTGGACGTTCATGGCTGTGGCCCACGTTGTACCCACGTGAGTTTCACCCCATAAAACTTCTCTGTAAAGTGGGGTCTTTGGCCACCCGCTTGGGACCCCTCCTCCCCTCAGGAGCTTTCTTATCAATAAATATCTTCCTACTTTTAACCTCCATCTTCCTAGCACTCATTCCTGGATTTCTAGAGAACAAGAACTCATATCATTACAGTTAACAGGTTGGGAGATACAACATTTCATATTTCACCTTTCCCTCAACCCTAGCACTGTGTTATTGATAACACTCGGAGATGCAATCTGTATACCAATATTACTACAAAAGGTGGGAGGGAATAGACCTATAGGCGTCACACTTACATTTTACTGGAACCAAGTTAGTGTAAATCTGAGGCTATGAAAAATTAAGATGTTTATGGTTAGCCCTTGGGCAATCCCTAAGAAAATGTATTTAAAAATTGTTTGGGGCCGGGGATTTAGCTCAGTGGTTCCGCTGCCTGCCTCGCAAGAGGAAGGACCCGAGTTTGATCCCCGGTACCAAAAAAAAAAATTTGTTACAGGCACACACCTGTAACTCCTAGCCATTCATGAGGGAGGCCAAGGCAGGACTATAAGTTTGAGGCCAGCCTGGGCAACTCAGTGAGACCTTGTCTCAAAACAGAAAACACTGTAAGAGCTGGGGATATACCTCTGTGTTAGAGGGGCCTTGAATTCAACCCGCAGCACCACACGCATGCACACATACACAGTATTAGGACTGAGAGTGCGGTCTGATGATAGAGCCCTTGCTCAGCATGCAGCGGGCCCCTGCATTCAATCCCCATTACTGGGAGTGGGGTGAGATAAAATTGGACCTCTCAAAATGTTGGAACTTGGGCTGGGGATTTAGTTCAGTGGTTACCCCACCCGCTTTGCAAGCACAAGAACCCGAGTTCAATCCCCGGTACCAAAAAAAAAAAAGTTGGAACTCATGCCTCAAATGACACTATCAAAAAATGCAAAGATGAGTGAGGCTCAGGGATTGATCCCAGCACTTCAAAGAAGAAAAGGGGACGGGCAAACAGTGACAGGGATGCAGATCCCTGGTTGCTCCAGAGCCTGAGGATTGGATTGTCAGAGGCCTTCCATGTCCTGTGACATGGGGATTGTCACTCTGACCCTCGTCTCTGGTGTGAGGTTATTCTTGGTCTGGAAATTCAGTATCCTGTGCTTAATTTCCGAGTGACCTCTAACGGGATCCTGGGTAAGGAGAAGGGACCCAAGTGCCCCTTTCTCCCTGGCTTGCTCCCTGCACTCCTCTGCCCCTTGTCTCTGCTTGTCTCCCCAGGGTCTGTGTCAAGAACGCCTCTTGAGGAGGATCTTGGGGCAGCTGAGGCCAGATACTTAAGCAGTTCAGAGAATTCTGGAGGCTAAAGGACAGAGTTAGACCCCTTCACCCCCCATCCTGGTGCTGGGGCTTGAACCCATGACCTTGATCATGGTAGCTGCAAGGCAAATGCTCTACTCCTGAGCTCTACTCACAGAGTAAGTGTTTTTCTTTTTTGATTTAGGTAAGGCCTCGCTACTATGTAGTTCAGGCTGACCTTGAAGTCACTAGCCCAGGCTGGTCTAGAACTCGTGGTGATCCTCACCCCAGCCTCCCAGCTGCTGGGATTACAGGCGTGCCCCACCTCCCCGGCTAGAGTAAGGTCTTTTGGTTTGGCTCTGGTATCTCGAGCAAGCATCACACCACTCCGAGCCTCAGAGCCTGTTTCCCCGGGTGTTCATGGATCTTTCCGAGCAGCCAGTGCAGAAGCTTCGACAGGAAGACAGCACGTGGTAGCAACACCCCAAGGGAGGCTTAGGCCATTGCTGGGCAGGGCCAAAGGCAGGCCAGGGTGGGGTCGAGAGGGTGCCCGGCCCTCTCCACTGTGGCTGCCACCAGGACGGGTGGCTACTGCCAGGGCTGGCACTGGGTGGGCGGAGCGCAGGCGGCCGGCCCGGCCAGGTTTGGGGGATTGGACGGAAGGCGGGGCAGGAAGGCTCCAGCGGACCCGTCCGCGTGGTCCTTGTCCCCAGCGCCCTGCAGAGGACACGTGCGGCGGCTTGTCCCGCCGTTGTCACCGCAGCTCCCGTCGTAGCCCCTCCTCCGACCCAGGACCCCCGCCCCCTTATCCCCAGGCCCATTGCCAGCCGGCTGAGTCCGCTCCGCCTGCTCACCGCTGTCGTCTCTGTGTCGCCCCCTCCAGGCCTGCTGCTCCCCGGGCCTGCGATTCCCGCCCCGACCCCGACCTCGCCCTCGCCAGGGAGATGCAGCCCTCAGGCCGGACGGCTGCCCAGGAGGCCACGGGCCGCGACGTGCTGGCCGCCGACCTGCGCTGCAGTCTCTTTGCCGCCGCGCTGCGCAGCTACAAGCGCGACTCGATGCTGCGGCCCTTCCCTGCCGCCTACGCCCGCGGCGACTGCAAGGACTTCGAGGCCCTGGTGAGTCTGCCCCGTGGCCCCGGCCGACCCTAAGTCCCGGGCCAGGTAGCTGGGGAACTACTGGTGTTGGCAAACACGCCAAGCCCCGGATCTTCCATCCCCAGCCTGGCTTCCGAGAGGGTTCCTACCAGCTAAGAATTTAACTCCTCTAACAGCCTAGTGTTGATACACTCACTTCACCTGTGTGTGGCGGCTTCCTGTGTCAATGACGGGTGACTCTTAGGAGTGAAGTGACGAATTTAATAGTCGGATCGTCCTCCACAAAAATTTCAAGCTGGAAAAAAAAATTTCTAGCCAGGAGTGGTGACACACATCTGTAATCCTAGCACTTAGGAAGCTGAGGCAGGAGGATCCCAGTGATTTTTCAGGCAGCCTGGGCTAAACATTGAGTTCAAGGCCAGCCTGAACTACATAACTCTGTCTCAAAACCAAACAAAATTTCAGTCATGACCAGTGATGGGGTGTTGATCTGAACTAGCTATTTGCCTAGACAGGAAGTTATCTAGGCCTTCACAAATAATGGGACACCAAAAGTCACTAAAGCATCCAGACTTTGACCTTAAGATGAGGTAACATGTGGTCAGTACTTTTATAAACTATAACACACAGCAGGCATGTGACCCGCTACTTCTCTGCTGATTCACAAGACTTTTAATTTCTTTTTTGGTACAGGGGATTGAACTTGGGACCTTTCACTTTTGAGGCAGGTGGTAGAACCACTGAGCTAGATCCCCAGCCAACTTTTAATATCTTATAGAGTTCATGTTAGGGTCAGCCTTCCAGATCTCAGTTACCTTTGTCATCCAAATCTTTGAGATTACCTAGAAAAAATATAATTTACCAAAACTGATCGAATTAAGTAGAACATCAAGGGTCAGGGACATAGCTCAGTGGTTCCTGTGCCTGCCTGGCAAGCACAAGGTCCTGAATACAAAAAAAAAAAGAACATCAAAGTAGCTGTATCATTAAAGACTTTGAATTAGTAGTCAAAGATTTTTTCCTGCAACGCCCCCCACCCCAGGCCGGGGATTTAGCTCAGTGGTGCCTCTGCCTGCCTCCCAAGCGCAAGGTCCTGAGTTCGATTCCGGTACCAAACAAACAAAAAAACCCCCAAATCCCCCTGGGCTTGTTGGCTTCTGTGCTGAGTCTGCCAGTCACAGAAGGAATAAGTGATTTCACATTTGTACAAATTCTTCCAAAGTATTGAAAAAGAGACTGGCATGACCTTGATGCTAAATCTGAGAAGGTTGATACAAGAAAAGAAAATTGGAGACTGATGTCATTCATGAGTATAAATGCAAAAATTCTTTTCAAAATATTACAGTGGGATCTAAAATCAATGAGTATGGGCCGGCAATTTAGCTCAGTGGTTTTGCTGCCTGCCTTGCAAGTGCAAGGACCCGAGTTCAATCCCTGGTACCAAAAAAAAAAAAAAAAAAAAAGAAATAAAATTAAAAAGCTTCTTTTAAAAATATAGACACTAGGGCCAGGGATTTAGCTCAGTGGTTCTGCCGCGTGCCTCGCAAGTGTAAGGTCCTGAGTTCGATCCCCGGTACCAAAAAAATAAATATATATATATTTTTTTGGTACCGGGGATCGAACTCAGGTCCTTCTACTTGCGAGGCAGGTGGCAGAACCACTGAGCTAGATCCCCGGCCCTCAGGAGCAGTTTTGAAAAGATTGTCCTTCCCCCCGGTACCAAAAAAATAAATATATATATATTTTTTTGGTACCGGGGATCGAACTCAGGTCCTTCTACTTGCGAGGCAGGCAGTGGAACCACTGAGCTAAATCCCTGGCCCAAAAAATAAATAAATAAAAATAAAATCAATGAGTAAAAAAATGGTAATTCCATAGCCAGGTGTGATGATGCACAACTGTGATCCCAGCACTTTGGGAGCGTGAGGCAGGAGGATTGCAAGTTCAAGTCCCGCCTGGGCAATTTATCAAGACTCTGTCTCAGAAAAGGGCTGGGGATGTAGCTCAGAGCAAAGGCCCTGGAAACAAAAAAGGGGTGGGGATAATTTCTTTTGACCAAGTTGTATTTATTCCAGGAATGCAAAATTAGTGCAACATTAGGAAGTCACTTAATGTCATGAACCCCATCAACAAATGAGATGTTCGGTGTCAACAGATGTTCAGCATCATCTCTAATATCACCAGTGTGGGGTTCTGTCTTTGCTATTATTCCTAGGAGGTTGAGGGGCAAACAGAGGCTGAGCCTCCTGGGCCCACCTGGTGCAGTCTAGCCCTGTACTGAGGATGCCTCAGTCCTGGACCCCCAGGCCTCTCAGGGTCCCAGAAGTTGACATCAGGAAGTTAAGCTGACTAACCTCCTGTATGGCTTGTCCTACAAGCTCTGATAATTGGCGTAGGGAGTTGATAATATCAGAAGCTGGGGACAAAACTTCCTTCAGTTTTGGCAACAGATATTTATGGAGCTGCTATGACAGCCCAGCTGCTGAGGATGGAGAGTTAAAGACCACATAGAGGTGACAAGAGGGCTGAGCTCATTGGGAGTGGGTTGTGAGCCACTACCTCTACCAACCTCTTGCCTTGATGTTTAGATTTTTTACCCTCTGGGAGGGGAGGGCATTGGTGATGTTCTGAAAGTGCACTTCTGAAAGACCCCTGTGGTGGTGATATAGGGGGAAGAGATGTAACTCCCAAACCTACTAGATATCCAAACGCGAGTGTGTTCTCTAAAATCCAACAATGAATTCTAGGAACAACAGAGGTTAAGAGTAGGAAAAATTTATTGAGAGAAAGAAAGCTTCTGTCTAAGATAGACAGAAGGGGGACTGGAAAGTTTGTTGCCCGCCCACCTCACTTTTCAAAGATGTTTTATACAGCAAAGCCATGTGGTGAGGTGGGTATAAAGTGGGACAAAACTAGAAAACACCCAATGGTGGTCATGCAGTGGGACAAAACCATGACCAACCAAGAAGATTACAAGTACAGTCACCCAGGTAATATTGATTAAATGGGGATCAAATGGGGCCGGGGATTTAGCTTAGTGGTTTTGCTGCCTGCTGTGCAAGCGCAAGGACCCGAGTTCAATCCCTGGTACCAAAAAAAAAAAAAAAAAATGGGGATCAAATGGGAAAACAAGTCACATACAAGGAATTTTCCATTTATATATTTATTTTGGTACCAGGGATTGAACTCGGAACCTGGTGCTTGTGAGGCAGGCGCCTGAACCACTGAGCTAAATCCTGGGCCCCTGAATTTTCCATTTAGAATATCAATCACTGGTGTCTATCCCCAGCAGAAGTAGTGCCTCCTCTTTTTATAATGCTAACCAATGAATGTTCCTCAGTTCTCCATGTTGGCTCCTGGAGTGCTGGCACCTTAAGGGAAGCCCTAACTGCCTATAAGATATTTAATTAACTTAACTATCTATCGACAATAGTGGCAGAGTAGGAGGGTGCTGTTCAGGAGTAGATGGAGGTGAGAGATTGGGGTTGGGGAGATCAAACTCACCGATGATGACGCCCCACAAGGAGGTTGATTTTTACCTTCAAGTGGACTAGAATGCTCAACATATTTGCTTCCTGCCCAAGGTCTTTGTGGCATACCAAATTGGCTTTATTTGATGAATATGGCCTACATACACAGGGAACTGAGGAATTCTTTTGATTTGTTCATGCTATATCAACATTTCTTTAATGCAGAATATTTATTGGTACATTTTAGGCATTCAACATTTATTTTTAATTATACAAGTCATAGGTCTGGGGATTTAGCTCAGTGGTTCCTCCACCTGCCTCCACAAGTGCAAGGTCCCAAGTTCGATCCCCCATGCCAAAAAAAAACTATACAAGTCATGTTGAATAGTATTGTTATAAGAAAGCCAAGATAGCAGTAAGGTAAAAGTGCCCCTGATGGTTGGGCATGTAATCCCAGCTATTCAGGAGGCTGAGGCAGGAAGATCACCAGTTTGAGGCCAACTTGAGTGACTTAGGGAGACCCTGTCTCAAAATAAAGTGAAAAAGCCTGGGAATGTAACTAGTGGTAGCCATTGATAGAGCTCACCCCATCTCACAACTCTCTCAAAGGTACCAGTTGCTGTCAGTTTGGGGCATCCCCTTCCCTTGTACCCATAAACCCCTGGGAGACCATCAGAGCTCTCGTAGTCCCAAACAGCCCCCTCCTTTATAGGGACAAGTCACCCTGCACATGGGACTCGTTGTGCCAGTCCCAGTCAGTCACCCGTTCTCTTGAGGGCTGCTGGAGGAACACAGGCAGATTCTAACCATCTAGTCTGGTGTCGCATTTCCTGTTGGGAGAACTGCCCAGGCTGCAGATTCTTGGCTGCCTGTGGCCATGGCTGTAATTAGCAGTTTCCCAGAGAAGGCTGCTCACCCGGTGGGGACACCACCTCTGGGGAGTGCTCATTTTAGTTTTCATTTGTTCTGTTCTGTTCCTTTTGCGGTACTAGGGATTGAACCCAGAGGCTTGTGCATGCGAGGGAAGTGATGTGCCTTTGAGTTATATCCCCGGTCCATCCATCTGTCCATTCTCCCTTCCTTCTTTTCTTTCTTTTTTTTTTTTTTGCTTAAATTCTTTTATTGGTGCATTCTAGGTATACAGTACATGTACATTTATCATTGGGTGTTTGTACCTGTACATGATGTATCTTGGTTCTTATTTTTTCCCCATTACCTGTGCTCCCTCCCCCCTTCCCTATTTACAAAGACTTTGTTTCCATTTTTTCCTTTTCTTATAATTTTTCCTTTCCCTTCTTTCCTTTCCCCTTTCCCTCCCACTTTCCCTACCCCTTTGGACCTTTTCTTCCTATTTCAAATTATCAATTATTTGTTTTAATCATTTTAATCCTTATTTACACTTTCAGTTTTTCACACCAGAGAAACTATTCAGTATTCACACAAGTGTGTCCTATTTATTTCACTTAAGAGTATGGCCTCAATGTGCATCCATTTAGCTATAAATAAATGACTCTAGTTTTTCGTTCTTTATGGCTGAGTAGTACTCCATTT